GCCCGCCGGCACCGGAGGCTGCAGCGCGGCCGAGCCTCCCCGCGCCGCCCGCTCCGGGGGCGGGAGGCGGCCCCGGCCCGGCCCGGCCTATCCCGGCCGGCGGGGCGGCCCCTCCGTGCCCGTGCCCAGTGTGCCCGCTCCGTGCCCGGTGTGCCCGCTCCGTACCCGGTGTACCCGCTCCGTGCCCGTGCCCGGTGTGCCCGCTCCGTGCCCGGTGTGCCCGCACCTTGTCCATGCCCGGTGTGCCCGCTCCGTGCCCGGCGTGCCCGCTCCGTGCCCGGTGTGCCCGCTCCGTGCCCGTGCCCGGTGTGCCCGCTCCGTGCCCGGCGTGCCCGCTCCGTGCCCGGCGCTGCGGTGGGAGATGTTTCTGAGAGCGCGGTGCCTCTCCCGGGGAGCGGTCCCGGTGAGCTCCCCGTACCTGAGCGTGAGCTCCTCACCCCGTGCCGGTTCTGCTCTTGTCCCATGGCAGCAGCGCCCGGCGGCAGCCGCGGCCCCAGAGGAGGCAGGAAATGAGTGGGACAGGTCTGTCCTGCTCGGGTCGGAGCTGCCGTGCCCGGGACACGCCGCATACCTGCGCGGAGAGGCTGCTGGCAAGGGCGTGCAGGGACAGGACCAGGGGAATGGCTTCAACCTGAGAGCAGGCTGAGATTAGATATCAGGAAGGAATTCTTCACCGTGAGCGTGGGGAGGCACGTGGTTGTGCAGGGAAGTTCCGTCCCTGGAAGTTTCCAAGGCCAGGCTGGATTAACCTGGGATATTGGAAGGTGTCCCTGCCCATGGAATGGGATGATCTTTAAGGTCCCTTCCAGCCCAAACCAGTCCATGATTCTATCCCTGTGAGCCAGGAGCTGACCTCTGCACCCACCTCTCCTCCTGGCAGACCCCCTCTGTGCCAGGAGAGGAGCCAGGGCAGTGCCCAGGCCCTTCTCTGCATCAGCACTTGCCCGTGGCCTCCGTGCTCCCAGCAGCTCCTCAACACGTGGCATAACCACAGCTCTCTCCCCCGTTGGGCTTTTAATTACATTATAAAGTTACTCAAGGCTTACACTGGCAGGTCATTAGTTTTCATATGAATTTAATTTAATCATAAACAACTCATCTCACTCCTTAGCGGCTCCTTAAATGTGGCTCTTTTTAACACTATTAACTTTGCTACAGCCACCCCAGAGAATTAATGGAGGTGCAGGCAGTTTGCCAGGGCTTTTTTGCCCCTCCCCAAGGGCTCATCTTCATCCTCCTCCCCCTCAGCAAAGTCCCAGATCACAGTGTCCCTGCAGGAGGGTTGCTGGGCTGTCAGAAGGGGACATCAGGCCACTGGTCACCTCCCTGGTGCCTGCTGGGGTGCAGACACAGCTCTGGGTTACTGCACATCACCCCCACTCCTGCCCCCATCACCACTGCTCAGTCAGATGTGCTTTGAAGGCAGGAGGATGTGGAGGTGAGCTGTGGAATCCTCCCTTCCTTCTGTCATTGTGGCATTCATGTGGGATGGTGGGGCTGGAAGCGCTCACAAAGAGCCTGGGACAGCACCAACATCTGGAGCAGCAGCTCCTGGTGTTGTGTGGAGTGTCCAGGCTGGAGCAGAGGAAGTTTTACCTGTTTAAAAGCCCTGGGAGATGCACAAATCCTCCAGAGGATGGTGAGGAAAACACCCAAAGCAGCTGGAGCGTACACTGAGATGTGGAGCAATGGAGAAAGCTGCTTGAGAGAGGAATGAAACAATTCCTGGGCTTCACATGCTGAAAAGGAGAGTTAAGCTAGAGAAGCATTTAAGCATCAGCATTGTCTTCTCCCCTGGCCTGCTTGAGGGGATTCCATCTCTCCTGGGCCCTGGCAGCCTCACAGCTAATGAGCACCCAGGAACCAGCAGGGCTTGGGGGAGAATCTCAGCTCAGGCTGCAAAATGGCTCCAGAGCTTAATTAACAAGTCTAATGAGGGCTGTAGAGAGGAGTGGAGAGTGGCTTTGCATGCTGACCAGATCACCTCCCTGGGGAAACGACAGTGGAGAGGCAGAGCCTGCCTCGGGCTCTGCTGTGCCCTGGTCATTCCTCAGGGAATCTGCCCAGGATTTGTCAGGGAGCCCAAAGGAGGGGTTTGTGAGTGGCCTGGGAGTCCTGTGCTCAGCCCACACCTCTGGGGAGGCTGCTGCAGGACAGCAGAGATGTGGCAGCAGCACGTCCCACAAACAGGTTGGGTGCTGCAGGTGCAGCTGAGGGGAGTTTCAGGATAAACATTCATCCCCTGCTGCCCTAACCACAGGCTGGAGCTTCATGAAGCCAAATAAAATAAAATAACTGTGATAAAATAGCTACACAGCAGAGGTCACGACCTACACAAGAGTCAGGCTTGTTGCACTCTCCTTCGTGCCTGTCAGGATCAGCTGAGCAATTTAAAACAAGAGGGCAAACGACTTCTGAAAAACCATCCCTCAGCTCCAGTGGACAAATGGGTTTCTGCACAGCTGTAAGTGCACTCCAGCTGTTTGGGCACAGCTGGGCAGTCCCTGAGCTCTGCCTGGTGTCAGGGAGGGAGTGGAATGAGGAAGCAGTGCCCCACCATCACCCTGACTGCAGAGGGAATGCTGACTGCAGCCATCCTGGCACGGAGAGCCCAGTGCTGCTGCTGCTCCCTTGTCCATTTCAGAATGGGAGATTGTGCCAGGTGCCTGAATGTCCTGGTCCTCCCTGTGTACAGAACAAATGCATCCATCCTCCCCGAGCCAAAATGTCCAAAATGATGCTCCTACCCCCACAGAGGACACATCCCTGCAGCTGCAGCCCAGCCCAGCAGAGATTTCCCATTTCACACCAGGGCTGGATCTCTCTGATGCTCAGCTGTCAGCAGGAATAGTTTTCCACTGCTGTGACCCCTGAATTGCAGGGTTTAGGTGCCACCCATGAGAGCCAGGCTGGCAGCAGGCAGCACCCATCCTGCCCAGGGAGAGCAGAACCCACACAGGGGGTGCTGAGCCCTCAGATGGGGGAGCCCAGGGAAACTCCTGAGGACAACGCTGGAAAAGTACTGAAACCCCGAGGAGAAGCAGAGATCTGGTGGGAGGGATGCCCCAGAGAGTGCCAAATGCAGGGAAAAGAGCCAGAGAGCCCTTGAGGAGCTCCAGCGTTGTGCCATCTAGTGAGCGAGAGGAAGAGCAGCTCCTGCCAGCCTGGAATCGGGTCCGGAGCAGTGCAGGATGGGCTGCCAGGGCAAAGTGCCCCCAAAATCCAGCCCCATCCCGGGCAGGAGAGCAAACACCAGCAGCCAGGCAGGGCCAGCACCTCCAGGGAGGCTTGGATTGCTCGAGCCATGGGGAGTTTGGCGTTTGGAGAATAAACCAGTGGCCACTGCAGCAGCGTTTGGCTTCAGAGGGTGCAGGTCAGGAACCAAGGGAGCAGGGATGCAGCCGTGGGAGGAGAGCACTCAGGTACAAGCCCAAGGCCCTCTCTGCCTGCCCTGCTTTTCTCCCCCCAGAGAGTTCCAGCATCAGCGACTGCAAAAGCCCTTGGGCAGCCCAGAGGAGTTTGGAGCCCAGATGTGACAGGAGCTGAACCACAGGGAATGCTGCAGCAGCTGCAGCACCAGGAACTTCTCAGGGCTGTCAGCTCTGTGTTTAAAAATGAAGAAATATTTTTACTTTCGCTCTGTTTTCAGCCTAGCACCCGGATGAAATGGTAGTTAACAGTTATTTCTGGAATATATAGTACTTATACATATATTTATATATATGTTAAAGCCTCATGGTTGAAGTTCCCCTCAGGCACTGCCAAGGACATGCAGATGAAGTTAAATATTCCCAGGAGATCTCCTGCTTTCCTGGGATACACTGAGACCAGTGCAGTCCTGCTATACATAAACAAAATGATTAATTATGTCTTCTCAGATAGTCCATTCCTTACTACCTCGTGGAGCAAGGAGACAAGAACCCTCAGGCTTTGCTCATCCTTCTCTCTCTGCTCATTTAAAACCTCATCAGCACCGCCTCACACTCCCAATTCCATCTCCTTTTCAGCAATTCACCTGAGCTCAGGTTCTGCACTTACCTGGGGTGGGCACTGCCAGCAAGGTCATTCCCTGCAGGAAATCCAAGGTTGAATTGGCATCTTCTGGCACAACCTTCCAAAATTGAGGGTAAAGCCACAGCAGCTCCATGGGCTGTTGTCAAGCTGCCCTGATTTAATGTGGTGTGTCCTTGAGAGGAGTCAATGAGAGCAGCAGGTGAAAAGTTGTGAGCAGGGAACAAAGGGCGTTTGGTTTCCGTGGTGGGAGCTTTCCTGAGCAGCCCAGGGGATGAGGCAGAGATTTCCCCCTGCACCCACAGGGAAAAACATGATTTTTTTTTACTCCTCCTGAGCAGAGGAGAGCATGGGAGGAGACAGGGAGGCATCTCCTTGTGCCACCAAACCAAGGGAACTGAAGCGTCGGTGCGAGATCCCTGTTAATTAAAAAGGAAGAGGGATCCCTGCAGAAATGCAGGAAGGAATTAAAAAGGAGGAAGGATCCCTGCAGAAGTGCTTTGCTGGGGTGCAGTACTCACTCCTCACCGAGCAGCGTCAGCCCAGCACCATCTGAGCACACACAGGACTCACCCAGGAGCGGCTGCTTCCCCTTCAGACCCCAGAACCTCAGCTTGGTGCCAAGATGTGCCTGCCCCTGAGCAGCAGGAGAGGCTCCAGCTCGCCTTTATTCAGCCTTGCCAAGTTCAAATGCCACAAGTTTCTCTAAGTCAGTAAAACCCAGAGCAGAAGCAAAGCTGAGCTGAGGTCACAGCTGGCAAGCAGGCACAAAAGCAGATCCATGCCCAGGTTTCTCAGTCTGTTACTTTATTAGAGAGGTCTTTACATCATGGTGGTGGCCCCACTGAAGATATTTTACAAAATATTTTTAAAAAACCCTTTTTATTTGAAGCCACAATTTTAAAAATCGTGTCCCATCCCCTCCCTAAGCTGAGCTGAGGTCACAGCTGGCAAGCAGGCACAAAAGCAGATCCATGCCCAGGTTTCTCAGTCTGTTACTTTATTAGAGAGGTCTTTACATCATGGTGGTGGCCCCACTGAATATATTTTACAAAATATTTTTTTTAAAAAACCCTTTTTATTCGAAGCCACAATTTTAAAAATCGTATCCCATCCCCTCCCCGAAAAGCAAGCTGGGTTTAATTGTGGTTCCTTCTGCACAGGGAACAACAAAAAACATCCTCTTTTGAAAAGAGGGAAAATGATAACCACGCTGTAAACATGACAGTCAGATGATGTGCCCCCCTTCTAGGTGTGGGACACGGTACTGGAGCCTGGCACACCCAGGGAGAGAACAAAAATGGGGGGACAGAGCCATCCCTGCCTCTGTCAGCAAGGCTGTGATGCTCTCTCCAAGCTGAAAACCAGCTGGACTGCAGGGAGGGATACCTGATTTACCCTGGGAGGGAGGGATACCTGATTTACCAGGGCTGTGATGCTCTCTCCAAGCTGAAAACCAGCTGGACTGCAGGAAGGGATACCTGATTTACCACGGGGGCAGTGCACCAGCTTGCAGAGCCCCCAGAAAACCTTTCCTCGTGGCTGCAGGGTGTCCAGAGAGGGATGGTGCTGCCTGGGCTGCTGGAGAAGGCAGCAGAGCCCCTCCGGTGAGGGTTGACATTGTGCTGCTGCTGCAGCACAGCTTCTGCAGGGCCCTCAGGGACAGGGCTCTGGCACACAGCCCTTGCACAGAACAGCTCCAGCAGGACCAGAACCAGAACCACTGGGGCTGCTGCAACACATTCCTAAGGGGGTCAGAAGTCTCCAATCAGCCCCTTGTCCCATTTAGGAACATCCCTTGGCATTCATTAGCCTCCCATCAGCTCCCAGCCTCGTGTTATCACATCTGGGAGGCACAATCCACACTTTTGGAGGTGGGCAAGGAGCCCTTCCTGTGTTCATTGACAGAGACATCACTGCTGTGACATCAGAGGTAACCTGGAATGGCCCGAAGAGACAGAGCCTTGCTAGCTTGCAGGAAGCTTATAAATATGGATTAGAAGCTCTAAAAGGGTAGGAAATGCACTCCCCAGATCCAGAGTTAAAGACCTGGGGGCTGCCTCCTTCAGCCAGTACCTAGAAGTGAGGCACATCACATACCACCTTTCCCTGAAATGCCAGTAAATCAACAGAGGGGACTTGAAAATAACAACTTTTTTCTTTTTTTTTTTTAAGCAGAATTTTTTTTTCTTGCTAAAGAAACAGGTCTAAAACAAACCAGAAAAAACCTTAAGTGCTGCCTTACACCTTTGGGTTGTGTAAAGAAGAAGGTGCTGCCAGTGAGGTCCCTGACCCCTCCCCAGCTCTGTGCCCCCAGTCCCACCCAGCAGCTCAGCACAGCCCTGCCTTGTGCAGGAGGAGGGGACAGAAAGGACAGAGGACCTGCTCTGCCATTCTGCCACGACACCCAGCCAGGAGAACCATCCAAAAAGCTGTGCACATCACAGGGAGATGAGACATCAGTGGACAAGGAGATGCTGGGGGCAACAAGCCCCTTTGCATCTCCTCTTCCCGTGTTCCACTGTTCCTTTGTTCCTCCCAAAGGATGCTCTGCAGCCATAACCCCCTGGCCAGGCTGCCTAACCCACACGGCCCCACACAGAAACGACTTAAAAACCAGCCTGAAGCACCTGTGTGATCGTGAGAGCTGTGGCTGTAACACCCTTCACCCCTCTCCTCCCAAAGGCACACGGCAGTGACACACACTCCACCGTGTCACCGCAGGGCTGAGCGCTGTCCCCAACCTCCCCTCTGCCCCTGCACTGCCTCAAAGCAAAGCCTGCAGCCAGCTGGGCAGTGCCAACAGCCCAAAGCCAGCCTCTGGAAACAGAGCTAGTGCCAGAGGGGCTGTGGTGCCACTGGTGACAGCAAATGAAGAGCAGAAGCATCTTTGGGAGGACATCCAGCCCCTTTCTGCACAGTCTGCATGGGGAGCAGGAGGAAAGAAAAAACCCAGCCCTCCCTAGGCAAAACCCCCCCAAATCTCTGTCTCTCTGTGGCAATAAAAGGCCACGGTGGAGAGGAGTAAGTTTAAGGCCAAGGTGAGTTTAAGACAATGCCAGAGCTGCTGTGCCTCAGGCCAGGCCTTACAAAGGACTGGGACAGGAGCAGCCACGGTGGGGAGAGCGAGGTGACAGCCCTGTCCTGAGGGGCTGTTTCTCCTGGTCAGAGTGGTCACTGCTCCAGTCTGAGCTGACAAACCCAGTGAGCGCCAGGCTCACCTAGGAAGCATCCAGCCATCAGTGCAAGTACAATCCAGAGAGGGTCCTGCCCCAATTCCCAGCCTGGAGCTCCTGGGAAAGCCACCCCAAGTTCCAGCCAGCATCCCTCAGCGCAGAGGCCACGTTCATCCCAGGCAGAGCGCGGGGACAGGAGGGTGCTGTGGTGAGAAGGGGCTGCTGACAGGGTCTTCCCAGTCCAAGTTGCCCCTGCAGCCCAGGAGGGCACGGCCAGTACCAGCTGGTGGCCTGCCAGGTGTTACAAGCTCTCTGAGGAGCTGAAGGGGACGAACTTGGCGTGTTTGCTGGGGGACACTGGCACCTGTCCATCGGCCTCCTCGCTCAGCTTGAAGAACATCTCCTGCTCACGCTTCTTCTGGTTCAGCTCATCCTCCAGGGCCTTGAGCAAAGAGAACAACACAAGAGCTGTGTTTGAGATGGTTCTGGAGCTGTGGGCACTGTCCTCTCCTGTAGCAGGCCCAGGGCCTGCAATGGCTCCTTGGAGGTCAGAAGCCTAAGCCAGGAAATGCCAAGTCATGATGACTGGACCTTAGAAGCCCCTCTCTTCCCCCTTCAGACCCTTGCTTATCTCTCTGTAAGCCTATAGGTCACTTTCCTTTGATCCTTACTATTGGACAATTTCCAAAACCCCTGTAATGTATATAAACCCCTACTTCTGCCCAGTTCAGTAGAAGAGCTGTCACTGAGAACCTTCGTGGAGGACGCCAATAAAGAATTTCTTTGGAACCTCACACGGCCTTCTCCTCTCTCTCCCTGTGTCTGCCTGGCACCTAGGAAGATAAAGAGCTGAAATCACAAAGATCTGATAATCACTAAGAGCTGATATCACTTGAGCTTGCTAAGGTTGCCTGTGGCTAGCAGCTGCTTGGGAGCTCGGACAGGCTGTGCTGAGCAGAACTGAGCTATCCAGGCCAAGGCAGCCCACTGGGCATAGCCCAGCTGGAAAGCCACCAATAAACCCTCCAGCCAGCCAGCACACCCTGCTCACAGCCAGGACAACCCACCTTCTTCCGTGGTCTCAGCTTGTCCCTCCACTCCTTCATGTGCTGGTTGTGGCTCTCATCCAGGGACTTCAGCTTCTGGGTTTCGTGCTCGATCAGGAGGTGACACTTCTCATTCTAAAAACACATCAGGAAACACAACACCCATCAGCAGCTGGAGCTGTACATCCAGTGGTCAAATGCTGGATTAAACTCTTTCCTGATTTAGGGATGGGGTAACTGAGAGGTGTTTTAAAAACTTTTATTCCATTTTCAGTCTCATGCGAAGGGTGAGACAATGCAGATGTTATATTTATGCTATTACAATCTTATGCTAATTATTTCTTAATTATAAGTGTTTCTTGGCTTATCAGCTTTAGTTACATCTATTTCTTACAGTCAAACAGGATTTGTCTTAGGCAGAGATATTCTGAGCTCCATGTTTAGACCCAATGTCTTGGGCAGAGACATTCAGAGCTCTGAGCTCCACGTTTATAGACAATGGCAACAAAAACCTCTCAGGCAAGAGCAAGGGGACACCAACCCCTGACAGTCCTCTGCAGCCACTTCTCCAGAGGCTGAGCCCTGCACAGGCAGCTCTAGCAGACCAAGCCATGAGGGATGAGTACCTGGAGATGCTGGAGCTCGTTGGTGTTGCTCTCACACTGGGCCTGCATGTCCTTCATCTGTGACTCGTGCTTCTGCTGCTGGTGCAGCCGCTCTGCTTTCTGCCTCTTCTCCTCCTGCAGAGCAAACTGGAAGACAGAAAAGCAATGTGTAGGCAGCATTGCCCTGGTCTCTGGGGCTGCCTGAGAGACCAGCCAATTTCCATTATTGCACAGGAAGGAAGGAATTTGTGTTGCTTCCCAACACAAGTCACGATGGAGGCAGCGCTGAAAACCACACGTGACACCACAAAACACAGCCCTCCAACCCAGCAGTAAGTTAAACTCTGGAAACAGGAATTTGGGAAAATGCAGATTTCTCCCCGCACCAAGCCAAGCCAAGCCTCAACTCCTGGTGCCTTTTCAGGCCCTGACCTGTTTGATCTTCTCCCTCTGCTCGGAGGCGCTGCCACTGGAGTGGATGTGCAGGCTCTTCTTGTACATGGCCATGCGGGTCTTGCCCTCGCTGCGCTGGATTTTGGGCAGCCGGGCCTTCTCCTGCTGCTGCCTCACCTTCAGCTGCTCCAGCATGCGCTGGTTGTAGCGCTGCATCTGCTCCCTTTCCTGCAGGCACACAGGGCTCAGAGGGGAGGACACCTCCCCAGAGCCCTGAGGGGAATAGGGACAGCTGGAGGGCAGTTTTGGGAATAGCCTGGAGGTGGCTGGTGACACTCCAAAGGGACAAGAGGGGATGGGGCTGAACATGCTGGCAAAGCAGAGGAGAAGGGGCTGGAAGTGCCAGTCTTCACTCCGTGCTCTAGGAGGCAACCATGCCAAATCCTGGGCAGTGGCAGATTTCCAGAAAAGCCCCCCAGAATTCCCAACTTCTTGCACATCAAATGCACACAACACAGAGCACACGTCCCAGGCAAGAAGGCTTCATTGCCTTCTTGACACCAGCTGTACTCTGGTCTTAATAATGACCAAGCCCTTTAACTCCCAACCCACCCTTAGAATTACAGAATTTGTAGAATGACAGAATTACAGAATATTCTGAGTTGGAAGGGACCCAAAAGGATGGCGTCCAACTCTTAAGTGAACAGCCCATATAGGGATGGAACACAACCTTGGTGATTTCCCTCCTTTCAGAAAGAAGAGAAGAGAAACACCCAGGGGCACCTGGACACTTTGCTGACCCACACCAGCATGGGAAGGTGCAAAGCTTTCACCTTCTCGTGCTTCCGGAGCAGCTCGTGCCTCTGGAGGAAATACTGGTCCTTCAGCTGCTGCTTGATGAGCTGGTGCTTCTCCTGCTGCTGACGCTCCTCCAGATCCCAGATGCAAGCTTCCCGGTCTGTGGGGAGGAGAAGGAGCAGGAGATCACCCACCCTGGCCTCCCATCCTGGTCACACAAAGTGTCCCAAGCTCGAGAGACCTGTGGGCACACCAACAGCACGGCAGATGTTGGGGGTGATCATTCACCCCCTGTTTTCCAAGAGAAATTGGTTGCAAACCATATTGGAACCTGATTTTTTGCAATTATGAAGCCTAATTGGTTCATATTTGTAAAGCACTCTGAAGATTAAAGCACTAAGTATTATTATTGTTAAACATTTAGACAGGACCTGGCAAGGCTGGTTTTTTCCACATCCCATCCTGCCAGCTTGCAACTCTGTCACAGCATCTGCTGCGTGGGAAGAGCCAGGGCTGGATAAACCCATGGTTGCAGCACTCCCTCCCCTCCCTCACAGCCTTTGCCACCCACCTCTCATCAGCTGCTGCTTCTTGTTGAGGCACTCACGCTCCTTGTCACAGATCTCTCTTTTGTTCTGGGCAATGATGTTCTTCATGGCCTGCTCCAGGTCCTCCTTCTGCTTGGCCAAAAACTCCTGTTCCTGTTGACAAACCAGCAGTGCCACCATGAGCTCTGCTTCTGCCGCGGCTTGGAAAGCAGCTGCTGGTGTTTCAGAACCTGCCAGTCCCTCCAGCAGGAAGGGTGCTTTATTCTACTGCACATTTCCCAGTCTTGGAACTGGGGGGATCTTCCCTGGGTCTCACCATGGTTTGTTTTTTCTGGGTGAAGTCGTCCATCTTCACCTTCAGGTTCCCTTTGCGCTGCTGCCGTGGCAGCTTCTCAACCTCGTTCTTAACCTGTGGGGAGGAAATTAAATTTCCCTGCAGGGCGCTTTGGGCCAGGAACAACCCTACCTCCAGTCACTCAACAGCTCAGGAATCACCCAAAACCACCTCAGGAATCACCCAAAAACATCTCGGGAATCACCCAAAAGGCCCTCAGGAACCACCCAAAAACACCTCAGGAACCACCCAAAACCACCTCAGGAATCACCCAAAAACACCTCAGGAATCACCCAAAAGGCCCTCAGGAACCACCCAAAAACACCTCAAGAACCACCCAAAAAGGACCTCAGGAATCACCCAAAAACCTCAAAAATCACCCAAAAACCTCAAAAATCACCCAAAAACCTCAGAAATCACCCAAACACCTCAGGAATCACCCAAAACCATCTCAGGAACCACCCAAAACACCTCAGGAGCCACCCAAAAGCAAGACTTTCCTCTCAAGTTCTGCTACGAGAAATGCTGAACTCCCCAGGAAGAAAGAGGCGCAGGAAATCACCTTCCCTCCCTCCCAGCCCCAATTTTCACCTCCTTCTTCATCTGCTTGAGCTGCTCCAGGAAGCAGGCGTGGTCGCGCTCCTGCTCCAGGCGGATGCGCTTGGCCTCCTCGCGCCGGCGCAGGGCGTGCTCCTGCTCCATCCTCTCAATCTGCTGCTTCTGCTGCCGCTCCAGGTTCTCCAGCTCCGCGTCATAGAACTTCTTCTTTGCCTGCCCAGGAAAGGTTAGGGTTCAGGTTAGGGTTCCCGCTTTGTTGCCTTCCAAAAGTTTAAAGAGAAAAGTGAAAAGAGAAAAAACAAGAAAAAAGGGACAGGGGGGTTGTTCCTGCTTGGATTGAGCCTCTTTACAGAGGAGGGGAACTTCCAACCAACACATCACAAAGTTTGGAGCTCTGTGCTCCAACGCTGCCCTCATGCCATGGAAAGAGAAGATCTTTAAGGTCCCTTCCAACCCAAACCATTTTGTGATTAGCTACAATATTACTTTACTCCAACAGAAGGGACCAAGTGTGTGAGGCCAGTTTATTCAGTTTACTCTCAAAGCCTTGCCAGATTTCCTGCTGTCACACTCAGGCTGTGCTGCTTTCTTATTTAAAGGGTTTTTTTTTTTCCTGTGAATTACAACAGCACTATAAACTGTTTCTCACAGTAGCCATGAACAGACATAAAAGAAAAGATCATTAAAGGGAGAAAGTCCAGAACAACCCTTTCTCTGTTACACCCTGCCAGGCAAAGGCTGCCAGTGCTTCCCAGGGTGCTTAATGCCCACAAAACCTCCATCCTCCATCCATGCTGCAAATCCCAAAGGGGTTCCTGTGATGCCCAAGGCTGTTGTAACCCTGAGAGCATCCCCATGTGGGGCACCTGCAGAGGAGCTGGGCTCCCAGCTGATTCCCAGGGGTTTTCCCTGCCCTCCTACCATCATCTCCTGCTCGAAGCGCCGCAGCATCTGCTCCTGCTGCAGCTGGTGTTTGCTGTTCAGCTGGGCCTGGTTCCTGTGCTCCTCCTTCTGCAGGAGACGCAGCTCCCGCAGCTCCTGGCGCCTGCAGAGGGGCAGGGTGGGGCAGGGGGACAGAGAGATGCAGGGTCAGGCAGGGTGGGAGGGATGTGACGGGCAGGGGCAGTTCCATCCACAAGCAGAGCATCCCAGCAGGGAGTGGAAGCTGCACCTGCAGCCCACAGCACCCTGCCTCTCGGGATTTCCTCTGGCTGAGATGATCCCGAGGTGTGTTAAAAAAGTCTCTTTACCCCAACCCAGCTGTTGAAGAAGAAATCAGGAGTCTTCGGCTGTCGTTCTCGAGGTTGTTTATTATTTCTTATCTAAAACATTTTCTGTCTGGCCTGCCAAGGTCTGTTCTGCAGGTCAGTCTGAGGCCCACTCCCCGCCCCTGGGCTGGCGTTGTCTTTTATACTACAAACTACATATTCGATATTCACAGTTACTTATTTTCCCATGCCTATCACCTATGTTAGACAGTGACTTTCTACCCTAAAACAATCCCAAAGTGCCACCGTCACCAAGAAGATGGAGGCTAGGAAGAAGAAGGAAGAAGGACAGGACAACGCCCAGATCCCTCCATCTTGTCCCCCTAGACCCCCATAGTAAAATTCTTTAAAATTTCACCTTTCACCCTGTGACAGCTACTGTTATGTTATCTAAACTTTTGTGACTTGTAATTCTTCATATGCAGTTGGTCATTTGCTCCATGGGTAGAGATCGAATTCCCAGGTGTCTTTGGCTTCCTGCCAGGGCTTTGAGCCATCCAGGGCATCCAGAGGGATGCTCTGAGTTCTGACACCTGCCCTGCTCTGAGCACAGGCAGGAGGCAGATCCCAGCTCCCTGATGTGCTCCAGGTGCTGGGACACTGCAGGAAGCAGGATGCTACTCATGGGAACTGTGGAAAACCACCAGCTCCCACAGGTAAGGCCTGTTAGCATTCACAGCTTCCAAACAAGCCCTGGCAAGGCTCCTGAGGTGGTTCTGCAGGGACTGGTGTCCCCCAGCACCCCAAATACCCATTGTGCCAGCTGGGGTAGTGCTCACTGGTCCTCAAGTCCCAAGCTGGACTGCTCTGGCCTGGCCTCTGTGCTCTGTGTCCATTCTTATTCACACCTGGGTGGCAAAAAGGGCAGTTTTCCCAAATTCTGACCCATCTATGATGACATTGCATCTCTCCCTTCATCCAGCTCACCAGTAAATGAGCTCTGCTAATGAGCTTTTACATAAATCTGATATTGGGGCTGAGGAATAAGGCAGCCACAGGGACACAGCGTTTAGGACAAATTATCCTCTCAGGGAGTCCCCAAGAGCAGCATGAGGGAGCCTGGAATTGGGCATCAAATGAAACAATTTGTATTTTAATTATTTTAAGGGCCTTTTCATTTCAGTGCTAGAAACAGCAGCTCCTCTTTCTGAGAGTAAGTCACGGAGGTTTGAAAGCTGTAAGATTGGCAAAGGAGTCATCAAGGAGGGAGGATACACCCATGAATATTAAATAATGCTCCAGGAGTTTACAACTCCCTTGGCCATTCTGTTAATGAAGTCTGAGGAGACTTGAGAACAAAAGGGAGAGGAACATCTTGAGAAGATTTCTGAGCTAATTTCCACTGAGCCAGCCATCTGCAGCCCTGGGGACACATTCAGTCACCCCCAGAGGACAGAGCCAGCCACAACAAACCTCCCCTTGTCCCAGTCTTGCTGCATCTTGAGCTGAATCCCTCCTTCCCCTGTCCAAGTGGGACCAAGACAACAACAAGGACTTTAGGTCGCCCCTGGATTAGCTCACAGAGAGGAAAACCCTGCCCTCCCTCCATCCCAGGGCCCCACTTGCCTGAGGAACCTCATTTCTTCATCCTTCTTCTCATCCTCACTGATGATCTTGGAGGTGGTGACGCTCACCTCCACGCCGTCCACCACAAACTTGCGGGTGCGTTTCAGGGTCTTCTTCTGCATCCTGGAGTCCTGGGGTGGGCAGGGAGGAGAGGAGGGGCTGTGAAGCAGCTCCCCAGGGCTGCAAGAGCTGGACTGGAGCCCTCAGAGCAATATTAATGCTCTGTTATTCATGAGGAACATACAGAAGGAAACCACAAGGGGCACAAACCGTCAGTGAATTTGGAGATCCAGTGTGGCTACTAAACCATGGAACAGGGGACTTCCACCCTGAAGAAACCTGACCCACCTCCCAAAGACTCTTCCTCACCTTCCTCACATGGCTTACTCCCTGAAAAACCCAAACAACTCCTTTCCCCTTCTAAAGGACCAACTCAGAGAGCAAATTTCTGTGTGGCATCGTATTCCTCCTCCTCAAGGATTACAGGTATCCTGGAAAGGAGGAGGAGGAGGAAATTCCTGTGCAAGAGCAGCACATTTCCAATCATTAGGGATTGCAGACTGCTCTGGGGGATGTTGGCTCTCCAGCTCCCAGCAGGAGGTGGGGAAGGTTTTGCCAAGAAAGGTTTTTAGGCATGTTTCTGTGCCGGGAAGTTCTCACTCATGCAGGCAATGTGACAAAGATCTTGTGCAACACATCCCTCTGCCCCCTCAAGTCATAACATTTCTTCTCCTGGAGCTCAGCAAATACCATTCCAGTTATTTTGCCTGTTCCTTGAAGCCCTGCTGACCTGGGCAGCTCCAGGTCTAGCATTCCCAGTCTCCAGGAAGCTTCCTTGAAGCCCTGCTGACCTGGGCAGCTCCAGGTCTAGCATTCCCAGCCTCCAGGAAGCTTTAGCAAAAGTCAAGAAGCCTCGGAGGTCTTTGTGCAGCCCCTGCTGACACAAGCCAGGCTAGATTGGAGCAGGTGGGGAAAACTGAGAGGCACAAGCCCAGATGAACTTTTTCCTGGGATCAGGTGTGCTGAGGAAGAGCAGATGAGTGATGGACTATGGATAAAGTTTAGGAAGCCCCATTTGGGGTTTCACTTGTAAGCAAGGACAAGTCATGGTCATGGCATGGTTACTTCACACAAAATAGACACAAGACATCAGACTTCCCCTAGATTTCAATGGCCTGGCACAAAAGAGGACACATGAACCTTCAGCAGCTCCACCATGAGCTCCTCCTTCACTTGAGGACATGCCACATCCCCCTGGCACAGCTCAACCCAGCTGTAAATGCTGTGCTGGCCTGAGCCCAGCTGGGACAGGCAACATGGAAAACAAACCCTGGAAAGCTTTCCCTAGGGAAGGGTTCTTCCCTCCTGCATGTTCTCCAGGACCCTCTGGCACCACTCTCACCTTGAGGGAGATGGAGCCACTCTCCCTGTTGAGGGACAGGTCAGCAGACAAGGAGATGGTGAGGTCCATGCTCTCAGAGGCTGAAGTGCTGCCGGAATCCGAGTCCCTTTTGGAGCGGGGGAATGGTCCCAGGGGCTCCAGGCTTCCATTGGCCAGCTTCTCCTCGCTGAAGTTCTCCAGGAAAACACTCTCTGGTCGCTCCATGATGCTCTTCCTCTCCCCCATGCTCTTCCTCTCCTCAATGCTCTTCCCCTCCCCGATGCTCTTCCTCTCCTCGATGCTCTTCCTCTGTTCAAGGCTCTTCCCCTCCCCAAGGCTCTTCCTCTCCTCTCTGCCTGGCCTGGGCTCCTTGTTCCCCTCTGTTGAGTTTCCCAAATGTCCTGGCTGCAGGATGATGTCCGGCTTGTCCTGGGTGGCCGAGGAGGCCGAGCTGGGTTTTGTGGAGTGGTTGCTCCCCAGTTTGTCACCGTCACTGCTCATCCCTTTATCCGAGGCTCTGTGGCTCTGGCTCTCTGTGGTGTCCTTGCCAGTCCCCGCGGAGCCGTTCACAGCTTTGGGCAAGGGCGAGTCCGGAGGTTTCTCCCCATCAAGGCTCAGCTGGCTCAGCTCGGACGGGTCCCGCTTGTGCTTCCCAGGGGGCTGCAAAGAGAGGCAAGGGCAGATGTTGGGTTGGGCACCCACTCAACACAACTGCAAGGGCTACAAGGCAGAGCAAAGGCACCCTGAACCCTGAGGGAATGTCCCTTGTAGGACATCTGCCCTGGGATGCTTCCATCTTTCCCCAGGTTTGTGGCCCCAAGGATCCGGTGGGGACGGAAGAGGAACAATGAAAAAGCCCCAGAACCTGCACATCCTTAAGAGGCAGATGAGGAATTTGCACACCAAACTCCTTTTCCAATGGCTGACTCCACTGTGGATGAGCCACTTCCCTTTGTGACAGAGGAGGGAGGTCGAGACATGTCCCCAAACAGCTCTGAGATGTTCCCTGCAGAGCCAAGCCCAGGGACAGATCTGCCCAGCTCCCTCCTTGGGCTGGTGGTCCCTCCACGTGCTGCTGGCTTTGCTTTCACTGCACCTTCTCCAGCCTGCATCAGGGCTTATTTCATTTTTTTTTCCTTTTCCTTTTGTTTTTTAACCACTTTTCTTGAGCCCCTCCAGTGAGGGGCACTGGGCCCCGCACCCCAGCACCATTATTTCTCCATGCCCTTGGTGGCCACCAAAACCCAGCCCCTCCTCGGCCAAGCAACCACTCCCCCTCCACCTGATGTGACCCAAACCAGTTTTTGGAAGCTGAAAAAATCACCAGGTTCTTTCCCCCAGCACAGCCACCGTGGTGAAGCTGCTCACCGAGGCAGACTCCGAGGAGTCATCCTCCTCTGCTTCATCCCGACTGTCCTCGATCTCCTCCATCACCTCAGCCTTGGCCTCGGCCACCAGCTCCCGCAGGGCCCTGTTGCTGGTCACCTTGCTGACAAAGGGATGCTGAAAACCAAGCACAGTGTAAATATCAGGTGGCCAAAGTCACACCTTGTGAGCCCGAGGACGACTTTTGGCTTTCAGAGACCTGAGGCTGTGGTTCCTTGCAGTGTCACTGGGATTTACCCCCAGAGGAATTCACAGAAGTGAGGCTGAGGTTCAGGGCACACTGAACCTCAGATGTTCCCCAAAGCTGCTTTATGGCAGCAGCTCCCCCAAAAAAAGCAGCAGCAGCATTGAAACAAGGGGACATCTGCCCACAGAATGTCACCAGGAGCAGTCTGCAGGATCCCTGGGAGCCAGGAGAGCCTGGGGGGAGGTTAAATTGGAATGGGGCTGGAATCACAGTGCTCACAGTGGAATCACACTGCTCACAATGCTGGTGCTGAGCTGCACCAAAGGCAGGGGAGTCCCTGGGCTCTGTGCACCAGCACACAGTGCAGCCAGCAGGGAACAGCAGCTCCCAGGTGTTTGCTGTGATTTTGGGAAGGGACTGGAGGAAAGGAATTGAATTTCAATCAGGGCTAACCAGGTTCAGCCCAAGCTGGCTGCCACAGGAGCTGCTTCTGCTCCAGGTGGTGTCCACAGGGGCTCTGCAGGTTGCTCCAAAGGGAAAAACATTGCTGATCCTTTTTGGAGAGTTTTAGTGGCTGAAAAGTGCTATGAACTTTCTAAACAAGACAGAAATAATGTGAATCCAGTCTGGGGTCACGGCTCTGGTCCCTACCTCCAGCAGCTGGGCAGCACTGGGCCGGGTCTCTGGGTTCTTGTCCAGCGCCTTCTTCAGGAAATCTCTGAACTCCAGGGACCTTAAAACACAGCTGGTGGTGAGAAATTCAGCACAGGAAAGGCCTCAAATAGCAGAGGGATCAGCCTGATCCCTCAGCAGGTTCTGTCCCAGCTTGCAATTGGCCATAATCAGCATTTTGCTCCCATGGGAAACCCTGAGCTCAGTAATTCTGATTATTTGTATGACAAGCAGCAACAGGGTCAGATCAGGGACCAGGTTTTGCCTTTAGCTGTGCTGGCAGCAGATGGTGGGGACTGAGCCCAGCCCCTGTGCAGAGGCAGGGCAGGACACAGCAGCTGTCCCCCAGAGGAGCCCATGGCAGGAGCTGCTTGGGGACAAGGAGCCCCAGTGGGAAAGGGTGGCTGTGAAGGACCAGGAACCCCATAGGAGGGCACCCTCAGCCTGCAAAGTGCAGCTCTGAGCTCCAGAGCATGGCCCTGATGTCACTTCTGGGCAGCTCCAGAGGCAGCTCCCACCCAGCCTGCTGCCTGTGACAATGACTGGGACTGCTGTGACAATGCTGGGACTCCAGGGCTCTGCCAGTAATTTGCTGCTGGCTGATCTGCAGCAGCTTCTATGATTTAGAAATAAGTAAATTAATAAAATAAATAAACAAATAAAAATCAACTAGCTAGTTTTCTTTAAATTAACTGGCTAGTTTTCTTTTACATGCAGAATTGGCTTTCCAGACTTCAGGGAAAGCAGTTCTGGAGCTCTTGGCCACCTCCAGCTTTAGAGAAAAATCTGCCTTTCATACACACAGGTTGTTTTGAGACCAGCCAAGGGGTCACCCCTGGTTTTGGGGGGGGTGTCTGTGGGTGAGCAGCAGCTCTCCCTGTGCTGCCTGGACACTGTGAGCAGTGTGCGCATCCTGCCCTCAGCCAGCAGCGCCTTCCCAGCCCCTTGCACACAGCTGGACCCAGAATACAGCTAAAACCCTACTCAAATGAAAGAAAACTGTTAAAACCAACTGGTTTTTCTCCGTGTGTGAGCTGGGAGATGCTCCCTGGGCTGCCCCTCACCATTTGGAAGGGCAGCTGAGCGTGGGCGGGTCGGACTTGGCGATCTTCAGCAGGACCCTCATGGGGTTGAGCTCATGGTGGGGTGGCTCAATCTGGGCCATCTCGATCAGGGTGATCCCCAGGGACCAGATGTCAGCCTTGTAGTCGTAGGGAGTGTCCTTCATGGTCTCACACATCACCACCTCCGGGGCCATCCTGCGAAGGGCAGAGCGAGGCCGGGGTGACGCCTGGCAGCAGCAATTAAACCCTTCAAATAACCCACAGAGCTGCAGAAAACACCGATTTTTTTTTCCCCCAGTGCTGCAGAAAACACAGCTTTTCCCCCCAGCTCCGGGTTTCAGAAGCAGCAGCATCTTTTCCACGGGGTGCAGCCCCCTCCCTCCTCCACAGAAAACCCCCAGGCCGTTGACATCTGGCGCGGATGTTGCCTCAGAGCATCAATTAATCCCTGCAATTCCATTCCTTCAGCAAGCTGGGTGATTTAGAGGTTGTGTTTCTGGGGCAGGGACTCATTCCCATGTGCTTGGAGTGCCTTCAAAGCCCATCTCACCCCCGGGGTGGGGGGAGCAGGGAGAACACACTCGTGTGACCCTCGCTCCAAGCCTGGAGCACTGTGACCCCTCAGCAGCACACAGAGCTCCCACACCACTGGGGCTGCTCACAGGCAAGGAAAACCCTTGAAAGTGCAGAAAACAGCCAAGAACCTTCATTCAGATCCTCCCACCCTAAGGCACCGTGGTCCAACACACCCCAAAGCTTCAGAGCTAACCTGATTTTCAGCAGTGAAACCCTTCACGAACGGGGGACTCACCAGTAAGGGGTCCCAATGAAGGAATCTCGCTTCTGCAAGGTTTTCATGTTCTTGGCAGACACTCCAAAGTCAGCTGCAAAGAGCAGTAACATTAGAGGCTGGAGGAAAGCTGAAAAACCCTTCTGAGTTAGCACACTTGGCTGAGACAGACTGGAAAGCAAACAACAGACACTGGAGACAAGAACGTGATGCCATGAGCTGTGTCCTCTGAGCTGAGCATCAGGAATTAAACTTGGTTTGGGGTACATGACCCCCAGGATTTTCCTCTCCCATTTACTAAAAAACAGGCACAACAACCCCCCCTGCCAAACCTTACACGTCTAGGAGGAAATGGAGCTCTTTTCTGCAAACAAAAGCAGCTCCGTGGCAGATTTCAGGATTATTTCCTAGCAGAAAACCTGATTTTCAGAGCAGAAAAATCAAAGTGGTGTTACATTCCTCCATAACAGATTTCAGGAACTTATTTCCTAGCCAAAAGTCTGATTTTAGAGCAGAAAAACTGAAGTGCTGTTAAATCCTGAATTCTGCTATGGAGGAATGTATTTCCTAAGAAAAAATCTGATTTTAGAGCAGAAAAACCAAAGTGCTGTTCCATTCCTCCATGGCAGATTTCAGGACTTCTTTCCTAGCAAAAAGCCTGATTTTAGAGCAGAAAACCCAAAGTGCTGTTCCATTCCTTCTCTCTCAGCCACTGCTAGATGCCTCTCCCTGATTTTGTCCCTTCTCAGCTCAACCCAAATTGAACTGGTCAGACCTGCAGGGGGTACTGAGCCCACTCCAGGTGGGTTTGCTCTCCAGGACAGCTCTGGTGGCATCTGGAGGAGCTGTCACCCATCCCCAGCCTGAGCTCAGGATGTCCCTGCCTGGGGGTCACCCTCCTGCAGACAAATCCACCCTCTCCTGCCCCAGCAGGTCGTTGGGTGCCAATTTAACTCCAGAGCGGAGCGAGCTGGCAAAGGAACCCTTTGGCAACGCTCCCCCTGTCACCACCAAAGCTGCTGTGCAGATAAGAGGAATTCTTCCAGCTCCCAGCCCTGCCAACTGGCACCCTGCTCAGGATGCTCAGCAGGCCAAAAGGCACAGAAATGGGGTTCAGAGAGGGATTAAACAAACTCAGGGAAGGAAAATCCATCGGGGGCCTGAGCTGGCTGTGCCCTGGGGGCTCAGCACAGCACGCAGCTTCATTTGCCTTTCCCTGGAACCAAACCTTTCCCTCGTCCTGCAGCAGAGGAGCATCCATCAATCCCAGCACACTCAGGGACACCCAAACCCTACAAATCCAGCTCCAGCTGTCCCTGGGGGTGATGCCAGGGACTGACTCACCCAGCTTGATGTCCCCATCCTGGGTGAGGAGCACGTTGCCAGCCTTCAGGTCCCTGTGGATGATCCTTTTGCTGTGCAGGTAGTGCAGAGCTTCCAACATCTGGCGGCAAATCACCTGGATCTGGGGCTCAGTCAGACCCCTGTCCAGCTCTGCAGGGAGGGACAGGGAGGTCAAACAGGGCAGGGATAAAGGGATGCTCACCTGAGCAGCAGGAAGGCCCAGCAGAGCATGGCAAAGCCACTGTCCCTGTGTCAGAGCAGCAGGGGATGATGGAAATCAGCTTGTAAAGGTGATTTATTCCCTAAGCCTTGCAGCAGAATTTCCACCTCTTGGAGCTGCTGGCTCCTTGTTCCCTCCTGGGAATGCTCACTGGAGCAGTGGGAGAGGGGGATGAGGAGGGGGAGCCAGAAATGCTTGGGATGGGGTCTGAACTGCAAATTCCCTGACAATTTGGGAAGACAGACAAGCTGGGTTTCAGCCAGCTGCACTGGGCTCAGACACAGGCATGAACGCCAGCAGCCCTCACTCCCCAGGGAAGCAGGGAATGATCCCTGCTGTGGGGGTGCAGGGCAGCCCCTAAACATCACCAGGGACACAGCACTTCCCAAAGGAACACGATTTAAATGCTCAGCAGGGTTATCCCTACCCACTGCTCGGAGCTGGTGTTTTGGGTAGCACCAGTGCCAGAGTTCAAGGCGTTTTTGGACACTCTCAGGCACATGATGGGATTCTTGAGGCCGTCCTGTGCAGGGTCAGGAGCTGGATTTTGTGTGTCCCTTCCAGCTGAGGATGTTTTGCGATTCAGTGATTCCATTTTTGGTGCTCACAGGGACAGCGTGACCTCCCTGCTGAGCTCTGCTGGGCCACCTCCACCAGGCCAGGGTGACAGCTCTGCAGAGCATCCCCCCTCCAGATGGCCAGCACCTCCTGAGCTGCCCTCCCTCCTCAGCAGGGCCTCTGCAGTGCAGATCCTTCCTCCAGCAGAGCAGAGCAGGGCTCAGCCAGCACCAGAGGGGCTGATGGAGGGACCCCAGCAGCTGGGACAGATGTTTGCTCAGAGCAAGGATCTTAACCACAGCCTGGAGATGCTGGGTCAGCCACTTTGTTCATCCTTTCCTCACCAGTATCTTCCCTGCTCTGGGAAAAGCTGATGATTTTCACCCTCCATCTGGCAAAACCAAGTTCCAGTGGGCCTCAAGTTTTGTCCATAAGATTTTGAAGGGCAAACCCCAGTTGCAGGTGGGGATGGGGAGGTGGGACAGGCAGCATTCAGCATTTCTGGAATTCTGGGATTTATTAATTCTGAATTTACTAATTCTGGGAGCATTCCTGAGCTCCAGCTCCTCCTCACCCTCACTCAGGGGTCACAGAGCCACAGCCAGGCTGCTCTCTCATGGTTTTCTCTGCTGCCCCTGCCAGCTCCTCCAGAGAGGAGCCATGAATGCTCAGGAGCGTTTTTATGTCCCAAGAGATGGGTAAAACCCCCCTGCTGAGGTTTTTCCACGGGGAAGGCATCATTCCCTCTAGCACTCCAGGAAAGGTATTTTTTCACGCAGTGATTTGGAGCAGCTTTAAAGAAATTCCCTAAAGGAGGGACAAGGTTTAAGGGCTGAGTTAAAGATGATAAATTTGGAAATAAAAAGCAAGCAAGGTCTTTGGAAGGATCAGGCTGACAAGGAGTCACCCCCAGGGAGATGTGGCTCTGTCCCAGGGCTCTAGGCAAGGTGATGTCAGAGTGTCACATCTGCTGTGCAGAAGGGATGTCACCCAGAGGGGCTGTGCCACCAGCCAGGGCTCTTTTGGGGTGCAGCCACCCATCCCTGCTCCCAGCAGCTCTCTCTGTGTGGGAGGGAGGAGGTGGAAAAGGGGAGGTTGCTGGGATTGCTGCAAACTGCAGCTCAGCAGAGCTCTGTGCCTCAGCCAGTGACTGATACCATACGGAGAAGTCAGCAAAAACATCTGGGGAAATTCACCTTGACAGGCACCCAGCTTCAACATCTCAGCCCTGCTGGGAGCTGTGGGAACGGGATCCCAGTGCCCCCAGCAGATAAATATTGAAATTCAGCTTTCCCCTGCAGCCAGACTCTCCCTTCTCCCCACCCCTGCTGATCCCAGCAGCTTAAATCACAAAAGGACATTAAAGTAGCTCAAAAACTCCCCCGGGGCTGCCACACCTTCTGCTCAGGGGATGGAAATAGGCAAACTCCTGGGAGAGAAAGGGCAGCTGTGGCACCCACGCCTGCCATCTGTCTGAGGGTTGCTCCTGGTGCCAGGAGGCTGGAAATGCCCAGTGGGCATTGCCCCGGGCACAGCTGCACTCACCCAGCATCGTGGCATCCACGGCCCCGCCCGGGCAGAACTCGATCATGATCTGGGGGAGCAAAGAGAGAGTTAAAGGCAGGCTGTGGCTCACTGGGCAAAGGGAGGGAAGAGGAGGAAAGCTGGGTTTGGTTCCCTGCCCCAGGCGGGCTGGGCGAGCTCCCCTTGGGCACTGCAAGGAGCTCCGAGCCCCGGGGCCAGGTGCCACCCTCTGCCCACCTCCCAGGGACCCCCCAGCAGGGTGTCCCTCCCCAGGACACCCCCGTACCTGATGCCCACCCCAGCAGCAGCTTCAGGATTTGGAGGTGCCCCCGATTCCATCACTTCCCCTGCCTTTGGAGCAGCGCTGCCAGCAGGATGGGATAACTGTCATAGCTGCGAGCTGACGTGGCTGAGAGGCTTCAGGCAGGATTTTCCCTGCCAAATGAGGGATGGGGAGGGCTCTCATGTCTTTAGGGTAGGTTTTTTTTTAGCTGGTTTTATTTCCCCACATTGCTCAGTAGTTCATTGCTCTCTTATTTTGAGCACTTTGAGGGGAAAGTGTTTCAATAATCAGGGTGAGCACATTCCCCAGATGCTGCCGGTTTTCCCCAGGGATGTGCAGAGCCCTGCCAGTCCCACACATCTGCTTGCCATCCCTAGCAGCTGCCCCCAGCACCTCAGGGATGCAGATCCTCTCCCTCAGCTCTGCACAGGCTCAGCCAGAGCAGCCTTCAATTCCCTGCTTCCCTCTGGGTCTGCTCAGATAAACTGATTACAATTTCAAGCAGCCAGGGATTACAGAGGACAAGAGATGCTTCACCTCTCCAACAAGCTCTCCTCCTTGTGGAGGTGACACAGGGCAGCATTCCAGAGTGGTGAAATGCCAGAGGTGACTCTGAGGACAGGCCTGAGCAGTGTTTACAGCTCAGCTCTCCAAACCCTTCAAGAGAGGGTCACGTTACTCAGAGCAGCTCCAAGCACTGGCCCAGGAGCTGAGGGGATAAGGTTCAAGCTCAATTTCCCATGGTTTGATCCTGCAGCTCCATGAAAGCCACATCCCACCCTGGAGATGCCCTGCACAGGCAAGGGAAGTGCAGCTATCACCTGCTGGGAGACAGCTGCTCTGCTCTGGAGAGCGGGGAGCAGGAGCAGGACTGGGCTGCAGCAAAGCTGGAACTGCTCTGGGACAATCAGCCCAGGTCCAGGGAGTCAGAGAGGGACAAACTGAGGGGACAAAACCAGGCAGGGGTGATAGAGGCACCAACGGAGGTGAATAACCAGGGCCCAGGGCTGGGGGAGCATTTGGAACAGGCAGGTGAAGAGAAACAATTGGGGGAAAGACAACTGAACCATTCCCACACCAGGAGAACCACCTGGCACAGCTCCAGGTGGAAGTCTGGCAGGAGAGATGGGGCCAGCAGAGCATCAGTGGGACACACCAACACTGTGCTGTTGTTTAACACCTTGAACCAGAGCAGCAGCAGCTTCCTGAGCACATGGAAAGGCAGGAATTGTCTCCTGCCATGGTGCCCCCAGGCAGAGAACTTCCCTGTGCCCCACTGTCACCCCAGCCAGCTCCAGGAGCATCATTTCAACCCATTGTTTTACACTGTGCTGTTGTTTAACACCTTGAACCAGAGCAGCAGCAGCTTCCTGAGCACATGGAAAGGCAGGAATTGTCTCCTGCCATGGTGCCCCCAGGCAGAGACCTGCCCTGTGCTGCTCCTCATCACATTCACGAGAGCAGAATAAGCCAAGAGTGGCCAGCAGCCCTTCCTGGGCTCCTCAGAGCAAACCTCACAAAATTCCAGCCAGGTTTGCAGCCTGGCAGGGAGAAAGTCTGAGGACAAGGGATGCTGGCAGTCTGAGGACAGAGCAGCCCTGGGCTGGCAGTGGTGCCCAGGCCCTGGAGGTGAGGGCTGCCTGCAGGCTTCTCCTGGGACTTTGCTGCTCATGCAGAGCTTGTTGAGGAGTTTGGGGTCACAGAGGGGCTCCAGAGCTCCCAGGGCCATCCCTGTGGGGGGCTTTGTTCTCTGTTGGTGTTCTGAATGTCTGTGAACACACACGTGGCTATGGGGAAATGCTGGATGTGGGTCTGCAGGACGCCCCTGCAGCAATCAAGGAACCTCATTAAGAGCCTTCAGGAGTCATGGAAAGGGTTTAGAACCCTCTGTCCATCATTTGTGGGACCATTGTGTGGGCAGGAGGAGGAAATGGGAGGGTTGGAACACATATCACATAGTGGGAGATTGCAGTGGTTGGGATTGTCCAGGCTGGGTCTGGGGACATCCCAGATTTTGGGTTTTATCTGTCTCAATAAATTAGTTTTAACTTGGGGTCCCAGTGCAGGATCAGGAGCTAGATTTGATGATCCTGGTGGGTCCCTTCCAGCTCAGGATATTCTGTGACATCGTGACAAGAACTGCAGCCCCCAGTGGGCACAGGGCCCTGCCCGTGCCCCCAGCACCCAAATGCCCCCAGATCCACCCTGCCTGGCCCAGGAACAGCCCCAACCCCCAGCACAGCCCCAACCCTCAATTTCCTCCCCTGTCTGCAGCAGTGGGGCTCACGTTGTTTGTGTGAGCAGCTGCTGGAAGCCACAGCATCCTGCTGCCACTGCCACCCCCGGCACCCACGTGGCTCTGCCACATTTCTGGGGCAGCTCTGAGGTGTCCTTGTCACCCACAGTGGAAAGCACCCCCAGCACAGCCTTGTGCTGGCACACAGGGGTTGTGGAGATAAGAAAAACCAAATTTGATAAAGGAAACCATGCTGCACTTGCAGAGAGCTGAGGAAGGAAATGCTGTCAGGTTCCCTCCTTGCCACCCATCACATCTGGTCCTCCTTCTCTCCATCCAGAGTGTGGAGTTGGCACAAAGCTCCCGGGGGTTTGCTGTCACTGGCAGCAGTAATTTCCACTTGGGTGTTTTCCAAATTGGAGCAGGGCATGGAAAAGGAGTGTCCCAGCTGGCCCCAGCCCTGCTCACAGCAGAGGGCTCGGCCCTGCTCCTACAGGGACACTGCAGGGACACCACAGTGCTCCCTGGGCTGAGCTGGGATGGAGAGGAGGAGCCAGATGTGCCCACAGGGGTGCCCCAGCAGGGCAGAGCAGAGCAGGGCTTTCCTGGCATCACCACCCACTTACAGGAAAAGCAGACAAGAGTCCTTCACATTCAGCAAAACCATCACAAAGGGAAAAGGGAAAGAGCCAGAGGAGCTGGGGGCCCTGGCTGCCTCCGGCCGTGCTGGTGCTGCACACAGGGATGAGCTGCCCGCTGTGAGGCTGGCAGTGAGAGGCACAGAACAGCTACAGGGACCCCCAGATATGAAACCTCCCTGCTCCAGGAGCTGTCCTGGCATTCCCCAGGCTGCCTGGCCTGCCCTCACCTTCTGTCCCCATCCCTGGCCCTGTTGTCACCATCTGTCCCCATCCCTGGCCCTGCCCTCACTCTCTGTCCCCATCTCTGGCCCTGCTCTCACCCTCTGTCCCCATCCCTGGCCCTGCTGTCACCCTGCCTGTGCTCAGTCTGCTGAGCCAGCCCCACTGTGAGCTCAATCCCACCCTTCTTTCCCCCACATGCAGGTGATGGACACTGCTTCCAAAGCTGCCTCATTTGGGAGCCAGCAGCTTGTGAGGGAAGGACAGGGCGCTGCTCATGCTGGGCTGCAGCAGCAGAAGAGGAAAGAAACCCCCTTAGGGTGAATTTTACAAAGCTGCTCTATTTTTTTTTACAAAGCTTGCCAATCTCCCTGTGCCACCACTGATGAAGGTGAAGGTTTTGCCTACAAAATCTGGTGCCACCCTTCTTCTGCCAGCATCAGCCTGGTGCCTTCCTCCTGCTCCTCTACCCCAAACCCAAGCAGGACACCTCACACCATGCCCGGACCCTGCAGGAGGAGCCCCAACCCAAAATACTCCCTGGCTTTGGCACATTTCCCTTCAGTGCAGCGAGCCCAGGATGAGGTTGGGCTGCCGGAGGCTGCTCACACACCCCACAGCAGCACCCTGGCATGGGCATGCTGCCCTGGCATCCCTGGGGAGCAGCAGGAAATGGCCCAGACCTGCCGTGAGTGACACAGGAGTCACACAGGAGTCACATCCAGCACTGGGATCACACCAGGGCCAGGCTGGCTCCTTCCCCGGCTTGCAGGAGGAGGGGGAGAGGCCAGACAGCCTCGAGGGCTTTTGGTCTTGACTCAGAGGCAGAGGAGGCTGAGCAAGGCCAGGAGAGCCCCTTCTGCAGCCCTCAGGCCTGGCTTGAGCAGTGCAGGAGCTCCCTGGCCCTTGCCCACGCTGGCTGGGGTAATTCCAGCTTTCCCAGCCCGTTCCTCGGGATCAGGGGCACCCAGCAGCTCCCCTCAGCACTGCCCAGTCCCACATAACACAGGCTGTGCACAGGAAGGCCAGAGGCAGCAGCTGGCTCTGTTCTCAAGCTCTGCTCATCACCACGGCACCGAGAGGACTCTGACAAGTCAGGAACATCTGGAGCAGGGCCCAACGTCCACACAAATCCCATGGAGGGGATGATCCCAGCCCAGCAACACTGGCTGCAGCAAATACAGAGCACAGCCACCCAAAAAAAAATGGTCATTTGTCCAAAAGCCTCCCAGAAAAATGATGGGCACAGACTTGAAGCCCCATCCTGAGACCAGTGTGAGCCAGAGGCTGTCCTGCACAGACTGGGACACAGGCAGCAGCCTCCTGTGTCCTCCAGGATTCCAGCAGCTCAGCTCAGCTGTGGCCTGGCTGTGAACAGCTCCTCCCCAGCCTCACTCATCTGTCAGGGATTTCCCCTGCTCCCAGCACCCCCAAACCTGAGTCACTTGGCTCCATGTCCTGTCCCCACAAGCCCACACATCCCCTGGGCTGAGCCCAGCAAAAACTTGGGACACATTTCTACTTCCCAGGACTGAGAAAGGGCCTTCAGCTTCTGAGTGAGCCAGACACCAGACACAGAGCCATTCCTCACTGGTGGGAGGAATACAGGGATGCATCCAGGCACAGGAACCACATTTAGTGAGGGTCAAGAGGCACATCCTTTATCTGTGTGACATCTGAACCCAGGTTCT